CATGAATAGACATGAATGTAAGACAATCAGATGTTGAGGGCTTACAAGAAAGGCACATGCACAACATGTGAGGACGTTGTAGCATATGCCCTACAGATGATGACAGTTTTGTGCATTTGCTAACAAGCATAGTTATCAAATCGTGTATCGAAAGGCGTATCGTTTTTTAAAAATAGTGTATTGTATCGTGTATCGTGTATCGTAAGATACGGTGTAATTTTAAATAAATAATAAAAATATATATATACCTTTGAAAAAAAATCATATACTCATAAAAATATAGCATTGCATTCATACTTCACCACCTATTCAAGTCATCAACATAGTTCGCTAATATTATAATGCAAAGTTTACAACCATAGTTCACTAATTCAAACTTCAAACCTCAAAGCGACTTTTAATCTAAATGTCTAACATCCATTTTGAACTCAATCCAAAAAATTAATCAAAATTTAAAAATTTTTATACAAAAAAAAAAAATTAGTGTTTTATTTAGACAAAACGACGTCGTTTCAAAAAAAAAAAAGTTTTTACGCGTATTGGTCATATCGTAAAAACATATTGTGTATCAGACGATACGGTACAAAAACGATACATAATTGCGATCTGTATCGTTTTACCTCCGTATCGTAACGTATCGTACAATATGTATCGCGTATCGTACGATACTAACAACTATGCTAGCAAGTGCATAGCATGATGAAGTCTCTGTCATATGCACAAAGTATGCAGGAAAGTTGGAGACAGTTGTTGGCTGGGTCAGCCAACAGTTGCAACTGTCTCTGTCATGACCAACACAATGGAGAAAGTCGCTGAAGGTGTTAGCCGTGCTCAATAGGCTTGTGAGCAAATTTGAATTGTTATGCAGTTGCTTAGGCAGTGGGACTTGTAATCGCCAATCTGAATGTTATAAATAGGTATGTCTGGGTCTGCAATGCAACAAAGAGAGTTGAACACGTTTTTGTAAACAGACACTAGGATGAGTTTCCTTTAAGCTTTGTTGAGGATGAAAATGTCTTTGTTGAGGAAGAAAATGTTTGGCCAATTGGCCTGTAAAGCTTGTGTGTTATGTGTGAGTTTGTTTATCTATCCCTACTCTGTTCGTGTGTGCATTTCTGTGAATATTTTGAGTGCTTGATTGAAACTTGAGTGTGGATCTTAGTGCCATCACGAGGCAAAACTTTAAGTGAGAAATTTGAGTCCGTGACAACAACATAGTGATTGTTTTTAATACGAGGATCTAATGAATTGGTATCATTGGATTAACCATGAATGTCAGTATTGAATACTGAGACCAGCTCTTAATTCAATAATGACAACCATGAAATCCATAAATAAGGTCCTCAAATTAGATTCTAAGAGCATTTCCAATTCTCTAGTTATTCTTTAATTTTGAGCTATTTTGGCAAGTTTCACTTCAAAAATCAGATCGAACCCGGCTAGCTATTCTCCTTGCCAAAACCTAGGAGGCCTTAATGCTCGCCAAATTTAGAGAAGCTAGCTTGTTTTGCTTATCAACTCCCTTTGTTTTGTTGTCGTTGCTGCCAAAACCCAGCTCCCCCTCCCCTCTGTCTTGCTGTCGAAACCCACCCTTATCTCTATTGATTTTTGTTATTGATTGGTATTGATATTTAGTTAAATAGGTATTAACTTTTGGTTAAATTATTATTGATTTTTGATTAAATAGGCGATTAAATTGCTATTGATTTGTAGTTAAATTTATTCAATGTATGGTTGAATTGTTATGATCAATTAGTTTTTGTTATTTTAAGTAGATGGGTGTTAAATAGTTAGTTAAAATAGAGAACATTATTGGAATAAATTTAAAAAAAGTAACTAACTAAAACATATAATATAATATTTAAATATATTTTGACTAATTATTTTGATGAATTGGATTAGAGACGCCCTAAAACTAATATAATTGGAGCTCATTCCAAAAACCTCAACAGAAACCTACACGAACTACTACCTTTCAAATAAATAAATCCCGTTATTTGATCGAGAGCCAAGCTTGGCCATCGTCCGCAAGTCCAAGATCACTTCTCATTAACCTGCTTACTACACTAATGCCGCTTAGAAGAATTACAGCACAACTTGACAAATACTTAATCCTATTGCATCAGATACGTTTTTTTTTCGCACAATTTCCCGCATTCATGTTTCGGATTTCAGCATTTGTATAATGTACTTAACGAAGAGAGATCAAAGTGAAACAATGGCTTACCGACAAATGAGGGACGAAAATCGCCAAATAAGGAATGTCTTCAACAAGAAAACAGTCGTGGTCGATCTGATTCAAACTCTGAGCTCTGATTGGTGACGATTCTGGCGCCATATCAACGACATTTTAAGAAAATTTTAGGGCTCGAGAATCGGATTTGTAAAATTTGAACTGAGATAGTGAGGATCGGGAGAGATTGAAGTCCAAGAGAGAGAAATTGAAGGAGGATTTCAAGAGTAGTATGAAGTGAGAGAAAGATCCATGGGAATGTAGAGTTGGAACTCTCGGAAACTTAGCCTACAGAGTCACACAAACAGGGAGGGCGGGAATGAAATGAACAGAACTCCATAGGAGGCTTCTTTCAAACGATCAAATATGGCGACCGCATGTGTGTTGTCTACGTGACAAGATATAATTGGCTAAGCATATTGACTTGACCAATGACAGTTTTGAACATTTAGACCAGTTCCGTCACAACCATGACTTGGAATTTGTTGCAGTTACCAGGGACCAGGAGGTCCAGGACCAAAAATGTCCAGATTCCGTTAATCAAAATTCCGTAAGGCGGAGTTTATGACCTGACTTTTCTATGATTAGAGTTATTTTCCTTTTCCATTCCTACCGAAAACTTTTATTTCCTCTTTTTCAAACGCTTATTAATTTTTTATTTTTTTAAATTTGGCCTATTNGACTTTTCTATGATTAGAGTTATTTTCCTTTTCCATTCCTACCGAAAACTTTTATTCCCTCTTTTTCAAACGCTTATTAATTTTTTTTTTTTAAAATTTGGCCTACTATAATCGCATGACGAGAATTGAATAGTCATATTTCTCACAGTGGTAAGGACGAGACCTGAAATTAGTTATATATGGGATCATGTTAATATAATTTTATGGTTTGTACTCTAGTCTCTCAGGGCCGGCCCAATAGAGGAGGAAAAAAAATGTGGGCTTTAGGCCTCAATTATAAAAGAGGCTTCATATTTTATATGTTAAAAGTATAGTTGAGATTCAAACTCTAAATTCATAATATTTTAAGTCACTATTCAAAGAACCTTATAAAGCTTAAGTCCAATAGAAAATTTGTATGTTAAATGGTCTAGAACCCATCTATAAATCAACCCACAAATTCAAGATCCATATCTCTTCTTGTCCTAATGTTTCACAAAATTTATACCTTTAAACCCACCTAAAAATAGTCCACTCATTTTTATTGGCAAGAGTGATAATCTAACTTTGGTCGATAGAAAATCAAAATATCAAATTTTAATTTTTTAAAGTAACACTGATAAATTAAATTTTATTGTCGTTTCATATTAGGGCTTTTGTTTAAATTCAAGCTTNAATATTTTAAGTCACTATTCAAAGAACCTTATAAAGCTTAAGTCCAATAGAAAATTTGTATGTTAAATGGTCTAGAACCCATCTATAAATCAACCCACAAATTCAAGATCCATATCTCTTCTTGTCCTAATGTTTCACAAAATTTATACCTTTAAACCCACCTAAAAATAGTCCACTCAATTTTGTTGGCAAGAATGATAATCTAACTTTGGTCGATAGAAAATCAAAATATCAAATTTTAATTTTTTAAAGTAACATTGATAAATTAAATTTTATTGTCGTTTCATATTAGGGCTTTTGTTTAAATTCAAGCTTTATTATTATTATTATTATAAATCCTTTATTATCACATGTATTTATTTTGATTATATATTATAGACAACCAGCTGGATATAAAAACTTCAAAATAAGAAAAATTAAAAAACTATTTGTAACTCAAAAAAAAATCTTTTGATAAATTTGTTACATATATCAAACAAAAAGATATATTTGTAATTGGTATATATATGATAGCAAAATTTGATAATACAATAATTTGATTAAGAATGTGTATTTTAATAAGTGAGAATTATTATTTTTTAAAAAAATTGTAGTAATGTTAAAAAAAAAAAAACAAAACAAAACAAAAGACACTATTTAGATTTGTCACTTTAGGCCTCAGCATGTGTTGGCCGCCCCTCTCAAATATGCAACGATTTTGTTTCACATCTTTAACTAAATGAAGTTTAAAGTCTATGAACCACAAAAATGCTACTTCAAGTGGTAATAGATATGAATTATAAATTCAGATATTTTGANAATACAATAATTTGATTAAGAATGTGTATTTTAATAAGTGAGAATTATTATTTTTTTAAAAAATTGTAGTAATGTTAAAAAAAAAAACAAAACAAAACAAAAGACACTATTTAGATTTGTCACTTTAGGCCTCAATATGTGTTGGCCGCCCCTCTCAAATATGCAACGATTTTGTTTCACATCTTTAACTAGATGAAGTTTAAAGTCTAAGAACCACAAAAATGGTACTTCAAGTGGTAATAGATATGAATTATAAATTCAGATATTTTAAATTTAAATTTTAACTGTTATTGAAACACAGGCTATATTTTGACCGGACTAAAAAGAAAATTAATTGAGATGCGCGTAAATTAACTCAGACATTGAAGACTTGGGACACTGGGTTCCCTCCGCTGCAGTTTGTCTTCCTCTTCCCCCACAAAGATGTGTTCACCACTGATAGGTCCTATTGATGGGAACCAAAACCCTTCTGAGACAGACCAAACCCAGTGGATATCCGGTGCATTGGACAGGATGTCCATCAAGTTTTGACTGAAAACTGACAAAACATCCATTCAAACAGTACAAACAAAAACTCAAAGGCATATCAATATACTATTTGGACTCGATTTAGTGACAAATCAATCGACCCAAAGCCACTGTTCTCATTGATATAAAGATTAATTGTTAATACAATGGTAATAGTAGATTGGATCTGCAAATTGTGGCAGTAAATTGAGAGCCTAAATAGCTTTACTCAATGGGTAATAATGCAACATTCTTCAATTAACTGATTAACCAAGTGTGCTCATGTACACTGAAATGCCTAATGAATAAAAAAAAATATTTTAGCTGCTTCTTAATCGTGTCAGAGTTGCCCATCATTCGCACTTCGAGCATCTTTCAGCCTGCAAGCAAGGAAGTCACGCAGTACGAATCAACAATCCAGTACGGGGATTTCAATGGCAGGCATATTCTTCTGCGCCATACACAATGTAGCCTTACATGGGGAGACAGAGTGCATCTTGGTTGTTGATAGGCCTCAAATAAGAAAATGGTCAATTATGTGTTGTATAACATCCGCACCTTCGGAATGTGTGCAAGGGTCTTTGACCTGCATAATGTTCCGTCAGGATGAATATCACACTTTGGAAGAATGAATGAAGGCAAAGAAAATGGTATTTTGAAAGATGGAAATAATGGCACCGCATTTTGGAAGATGGGAAAAGGAGCTCCTACACAAAGTAGCATATACCAAAATCTCCACATGTAACATACTTGTACCATAATGTTCACCTGTTTTTGTTTGAAAAATGATGTCACATAAATTCCTCTTAAATTTGATTTTTCATACTTCTAATGCTTTTTTTTCTATTAAATAAACAAACTTCAGTTAGAGTTACCATATCGTCAGCTACATGTTCCACATGGTGGACCCCTTATTCCTCGTGTTCTTTTGTCTTTTCTTTTTTTTTCTTTTTCTTTTTTTTGCATAGATATGCTTCTTTCACCATAAATTGGCTGGCCCCAATTCTTACTCTGCCAAGAACCATGATCCTTGTCCAAGTTTGGTGTATCTTCTACCTTGAGTTTCATGTTAACTCACAAAGGACATCAACTCAAATCCAGGATTTTCGATTTGAGATATTGGAAGGGTCAACCACCCTCAACGGTAGGGTGGGTTTTTTTTTTTTTTTGGGGGGGGGGGGGTGTGGAGAGAGAGAGAGAGAGAGAGAAACCTGAATAAGGCTATGAGCTGCAAACCTAAGCCTGCTGCTGTGAAAGCTCACATCTACTTTTTCCCATGACACACGGGATAGGCCAGTCATCAGTTCCCCTGCATTATAAACCCATGACAGGATATAGACAAGTTATCAGTGTAAAACAATGAAGGAAAAAACTCACGTACTCTGACACAGAATACATATATAAACAAATAAAAAGGATGCAGCACACAGAAAAATCATTTAACTATGCTCAAAGAATGAAAAACCGGGATGTGCAAAGCCATGCTCAAAGAATGAAAAAAGCATAAATTTTATAACTGCATTGGGACAATCATGGTAAAGGAATAAATTTTGTAAGGCAATTTAACCTCCAATGCTACAAGCTAATTTGGAATGAGGAAAAATGCCAACTTGAAAAGCTTGGGTAAGAATTGACAAATTCATGCTTACTAACTTCTCACTATAGGGTAGGATACAAATTCATTATAAGAAGAGGACAGTTAATTGCAAAAAAAGGGCAGGCTGCAGTAAGTACACATTACTAGAATGTCATTATCCATTCAGTCAAGCCCCAGATCATCATTCATCCTTCCAAAACCAGAAAGCATATGACGGCGGCTTCTTATAGCAACAAGTAGCAGTCATTCACTGTAGTTAATTGCAATGCATTGAAAACTGGCCAAAAAAAACTTTTAATTGAAAATAAAATATGTTTCCAGTACATAACACTTCAAAAAATTATCGCTGTCAAGTTATGTTCTCTGATTCATGAAAGGAAAAAAAATAAAAAGACAGAAGATAAGAAATGTTGGTACTTGGTCAAATTACAGATGAATTAGATTCTTGGAGAGTTGATGCAATGCGCATGGGATGGCTTTCAACTATTAAAGACAGTCACAACGAGGAACTAGAAAATAGAACAAGATTAGAAAACATCTGTTATGTCAAAGAAGGGATATTAATGAATGGAAATGGGTTATGGAAGGAATATGACAGAGGTTCCATGAATGAGTCACTTTCCTTGCCAATCTACTATTTTTACCGCANAAGGCTATGAGCTGCAAACCTAAGCCTGCTGCTGTGAAAGCTCACATCTACTTTTTCCCATGACACACGGGATAGGCCAGTCATCAGTTCCCCTGCATTATAAACCCATGACAGGATATAGACAAGTTATCAGTGTAAAACAATGAAGGAAAAAACTCACGTACTCTGACACAGAATACATATATAAACAAATAAAAAGGATGCAGCACACAGAAAAATCATTTAACTATGCTCAAAGAATGAAAAACCGGGATGTGCAAAGCCATGCTCAAAGAATGAAAAAAGCATAAATTTTATAACTGCATTGGGACAATCATGGTAAAGGAATAAATTTTGTAAGGCAATTTAACCTCCAATGCTACAAGCTAATTTGGAATGAGGAAAAATGCCAACTTGAAAAGCTTGGGTAAGAATTGACAAATTCATGCTTACTAACTTCTCACTATAGGGTAGGATACAAATTCATTATAAGAAGAGGACAGTTAATTGCAAAAAAAGGGCAGGCTGCAGTAAGTACACATTACTAGAATGTCATTATCCATTCAGTCAAGCCCCAGATCATCATTCATCCTTCCAAAACCAGAAAGCATATGACGGCGGCTTCTTATAGCAACAAGTAGCAGTCATTCACTGTAGTTAATTGCAATGCATTGAAAACTGGCCAAAAAAAACTTTTAATTGAAAATAAAATATGTTTCCAGTACATAACACTTCAAAAAATTATCGCTGTCAAGTTATGTTCTCTGATTCATGAAAGGAAAAAAAATAAAAAGACAGAAGATAAGAAATGTTGGTACTTGGTCAAATTACAGATGAATTAGATTCTTGGAGAGTTGATGCAATGCGCATGGGATGGCTTTCAACTATTAAAGACAGTCACAACGAGGAACTAGAAAATAGAACAAGATTAGAAAACATCTGTTATGTCAAAGAAGGGATATTAATGAATGGAAATGGGATATGGAAGGAATATGACAGAGGTTCCATGAATGAGTCACTTTCCTTGCCAATCTACTATTTTTACCGCAAGTCCACAGAAATATTGTTGCCAATAGTGAGGTAGATAAAAGAAATGAATTAATGAACCACTCCGATAAGTCATAAGAATTACTAGTGGTGTGATGTAAAAAGGAGACAACCCAGTAGACTTAAGTGCAAAGAGAGAAGGGACTTTCATGGGAAGAAATAACCTGATAGCATCCCATGAACCAAAGGAGAAACTAGGAATGCTGCAGCAACTAGTGTTCGAGAAATTTTAACTTGTTACAACTAAAGATCACAGGTTGAAGCTACGAACCTTCTAGCTCATCTAAACCATCATCCTCCGTTAAAGTGTGCTCACACTCCTCACCCTCACGCGCCTTGCAGTGTTCTTCATACACAATATGAGGATATTTTTCATTTACAAAGTCCTCCCACTATAAACAAGAAGATGTTCTCATGATTAAACTGCAAACAAAATTGTAACCATGATCCCAATAAACAAGCTGAAGAAAATACCTTGGGTAAGCAACAGTTACATCTAATTGATGATGTTCTCCAGCCCACAATATCTGCANAAAAGCTTGGGTAAGAATTGACAAATTCATGCTTACTAACTTCTCACTATAGGGTAGGATACAAATTCATTATAAGAAGAGGACAGTTAATTGCAAAAAAAGGGCAGGCTGCAGTAAGTACACATTACTAGAATGTCATTATCCATTCAGTCAAGCCCCAGATCATCATTCATCCTTCCAAAACCAGAAAGCATATGACGGCGGCTTCTTATAGCAACAAGTAGCAGTCATTCACTGTAGTTAATTGCAATGCATTGAAAACTGGCCAAAAAAAACTTTTAATTGAAAATAAAATATGTTTCCAGTACATAACACTTCAAAAAATTATCGCTGTCAAGTTATGTTCTCTGATTCATGAAAGGAAAAAAAATAAAAAGACAGAAGATAAGAAATGTTGGTACTTGGTCAAATTACAGATGAATTAGATTCTTGGAGAGTTGATGCAATGCGCATGGGATGGCTTTCAACTATTAAAGACAGTCACAACGAGGAACTAGAAAATAGAACAAGATTAGAAAACATCTGTTATGTCAAAGAAGGGATATTAATGAATGGAAATGGGATATGGAAGGAATATGACAGAGGTTCCATGAATGAGTCACTTTCCTTGCCAATCTACTATTTTTACCGGAAGTCCACAGAAATATTGTTGCCAATAGTGAGGTAGATAAAAGAAATGAATTAATGAACCACTCCGATAAGTCATAAGAATTACTAGTGGTGTGATGTAAAAAGGAGACAACCCAGTAGACTTAAGTGCAAAGAGAGAAGGGACTTTCATGGGAAGAAATAACCTGATAGCATCCCATGAACCAAAGGAGAAACTAGGAATGCTGCAGCAACTAGTGTTCGAGAAATTTTAACTTGTTACAACTAAAGATCACAGGTTGAAGCTACGAACCTTCTAGCTCATCTAAACCATCATCCTCCGTTAAAGTGTGCTCACACTCCTCACCCTCACGCGCCTTGCAGTGTTCTTCATACACAATATGAGGATATTTTTCATTTACAAAGTCCTCCCACTATAAACAAGAAGATGTTCTCATGATTAAACTGCAAACAAAATTGTAACCATGATCCCAATAAACAGGCTGAAGAAAATACCTTGGGTAAGCAACAGTTACATCTAATTGATGATGTTCTCCAGCCCACAATATCTGCAAATTATTTTATGAAGGATAACAAAGAAGATATGATCCAAGTAGCATAAATTAAGGGTTACTTCAACTGTGTAAGCAGGATACGGTCGTAGCCAACATTTGAATATGCAACCCGGCGTTTGAATGAATGCAATGCAGCCCTGCATTGATGAGTTGGGAACACACATTAGATTCACATTAGAAATCATCTCAAGAATCCTAGTATCAATCAATGCAGTTTACATAACACTTGGGCTGTTAGTAACATACATGAAATGACAGTCACCATAATCTTCCACCATGCGCCTGAGCAATGGGGGCTTTCCTCCATCAGCATCATTAAGGAACAGGTGTCTGCCTGTTCTCCTAAATATCAAGTGAATAACAAGACTAGCAGCTTTCTCAAAGGCAGGGACCCCAAAGAGAAATGGTACCTATCAACAAGTCAAAGACAATAAATCATACAAGACTACTTACTAATTGAAACAACATCATTAATAGTAAGGCGGGAAATGTGTCATGAAAAGCCAGGAATGTTATTGACTTGCTCAATATCAAAGGAAGTAAGTCTAGGTATGAACAGAATGAGGCCAAAGCAATGATATGAATTATCAACAGACGCAAACCCAGATGACAGATCAGTGGAGTTATAGTCATGACTGGAATGCTAAACTTTCACAATCAAATTCATATTTGGCTCAGATAGATGATCTTAAAGGGAAGGGGAAGGAGAACTGCTATGCAGCTGGCGAGAGTCAAACCCAAGCCATCTCTTGGGTGGCCAGCTCCATAACTACTCAAACAAACCCACTAACTCCACATAGAGCCTATTTTCTGGAACCATTAAATCTGAAATAGGTGACTGTTCAGGCAAAACATATATGCAGCCAACTAAGCTTCCTGCCAAAAGGGAAGACAACACCTAATTTTTTGCTCTTCTAAAGAAACATTTCTATGAAGTCACTGCCTAACTAAATTTCAAAAGTGCTTTATCAAGAGAGAAAACTTAGAAAGTGCATCATGAAGTGGTTAAAGAGTTGTCAAATGGGAGAATTTTTGTGCTTTTCTCTGTTGCCTTCTCCACGCAATTTTAAAGTTCCATATTTTTACCTGTTTTCATGTCTCACCCTGTGCAGAAAATATAACTAAATAGATTAAGTATTAGTCAACTCAAGTTTTGATTGCCAGAGCATATCATCAAAACGCACTAGTGGCCAACATGCACCATATACAATTATAAGGCTATGTTATAATTATCAATACACATTGGAAAAGGAGGAATCCACATACTTAAAACTCTGAAATATTCCTAAATAAGCTTTCAAAACGCTGCTTTGTGGTCACTTCTGTTATGCACGCATAAAAGGGTATAGTTGTAAGCAAAGCTAATAGCTTATCCAAATTCAAGTTCCTCCCACATGGAAAATAATTATTTCTCTAAAACGTCTTAAACTTCCGCTTTTCTTTTATCATAACATCACTTCAGTGCATAAATCTGTCAACAGTTAGATTGAAAAAGTAAGGCATTTTTCACCCCAAGTACAGGATTAAATTGATACACCTGGATCATCGTAAGCAGTTTCACCAAGATCAAAATACTTTTAAATGGATGAACATACTAAAAACACACTTCCTATGACGAACTCATAAATTTCTCCCACTTCTCACAGTGCGCCTCTAAAGTCAGCTAAAGGGTCAACAAAGGTAGTTGGCCACAGCTAAGAACCCCCAAAAACTCTAAAAGTTCTGTAAGGGCACATATCAAGCTGAGTAGCTGACGGCACATATCCCATCATGCAAATTCCAAAATTATCCTGACAACCATATACACAAGGTAAAGATATTTCATTCAACCAGAATGTGTGCCTAATTACAATGCTATTAAATCTCAAACCATGGCCAAATGCCCCATCTTCCAGTGATAAACCAGCTATTCTCTTCAGAAATTATAAGCAGCAAAAGATTTTTTTGTTTCTCAACATTTACATTTGAAAGGAACAAACCTGATATTTATGAAATTTGGAACTCTTTACAGACAAGAGAGGAAACGAGAAAATACCTGCCTGTTACCCCTTGAACCAAGATGAGGCGTGGCAACAGTAATAAAGTTTATCGGCTCCAACCCACCTATTGTACCCTTTAATTCCTTTCCACAGACATTAGCTGACAAATCCTCCCCATTTTCCTTTCTAGGAGGCGCATACAATCTCCCAATGGCATATCTAGCCACTAGCCCTCCCACAGAATGTGCAACAAAAGAAATCTTGCGTAGACATGGCTTTTGTTTGACCATTTCAAGGACCTGGAATTCACACTTGTCAATATAATATCCACAACAAATGAATCTTCTTTAAAGCACATTTTTCAAGGGATTAGGTTGAACTATTGACGCAACAAAATCCCTAAAACACAACGGAGCTACCAACCTCCTCCACCAATCGGTCACCCATAACATCCACACCATCTAATGTCAGCTTAGCCATATTCCGCGTGCTACCTAGAGCAAGTTAACCAAATAGAATTAGTCGATGCAAGTAATCATTCAGCCAAACACATATTACTACTGGTCTCAAATTTGAACACACATGTAACTGGTCTCACATTTGAACACTCACGTACAGCCCCCAAAAAAGGTTGAACAAACACTAGTACTGAAACATGTTAGCAGTAAATGGTGCAAACAGGACATGGGAAACACTACACATCTAAGATTTGACCAAAAATTCAATTGCTAAATTAACACCAACTTCCAAATTATATTATATCCTGCTTCAGATTAAGATTTGGATTAAGATATGACTGAAAAGTCAATCAGGCTCCAAGAAGTTGTGGAGCATGGCATACAAAGAACAACTAGTCGAGCAACTGAATTTCACTTGATGGCAACCCATTCAAGGCCACGTATAGCATGTTTTGTGGCCTACTAGGAGACGCCTAAAGGGCTATACAAACCTGAGTGAAATCCTTTTTTGTTATTCTTTTCATATTGGACATTCAGCAAAACTTTGATGGCAATGAGAACAGCAATTTTTGAAGGTCAGGTTCTGATTTTTCTTCTTTACAACTTTTTTGATGTGGTCAGAGTGGGGATTTTCCAGAGAATAAACTCAGTACAACATGATCTAAAGACATCAAGCATTCAAAAGTGGAAAACCACCCCATGAAAAATCATAAAGAAAACTGAAATGCTGCTTCTTACAGTGAACAAATACTTTATCAGGTAGCTCTCTAACAAACTTCTCAGCCGCAAACTTCCAATTCATGTCGCTGCAAAATAATACAGCACCAATATTAACAAACCATGATGATGTAATATTCAATAGAGATAGTGTACAAGAAATCTGTAAAGCACAACCATTTTAGTTGCTAAATGCATCGTGGATGCATTTGCTTTTACTGGAAACTGTTCCAACAATAACACCAAACCAAACTTGTTTCCTGTTCAATTTTCATTTATCATTACATGGATTAAACTCAAAAGATGACTATTCGCACCATCTTTCCCCTTAAGGATACACTAATTCCACTAAGACAAAGACACAGGCCAAACGAGTTCATTATAATTGAAGTGACAATTCAAAATATGGAACCAGTTTCAGAAAACATATCAGGCCAATCTCCAGTGCAGAAGCATTTGCCCCATTTATATAACCAAGTAAACAAATTCAATTTACAAAACGAAAGGCAGGACCATTGCCATCAATTGAAGTGATAGCCTTTATGTGATGATCAAGCCTGCGAATTTCCATATGAAAGTCATAGACAACCTCAGAGACTTGAAATTTAGTAAAATCCGCAAGCTCAGAAGCTCTTGCAGTTAATGACAAAAATAAAATCTTTCTCAAAAATTTGAAAAGTGGAACAGAAAAAAATGAAGCAACAAGNGCAAGCTCAGAAGCTCTTGCAGTTAATGACAAAAATAAAATCTTTCTCAAAAATTTGAAAAGTGGAACAGAAAAAAATGAAGCAACAAGTAAATGCTCAAAAATTACCGCCTGCCACAAACAAATTCATTGAAAATCTTCTTAAAAATACCCAAAAGAACACACACACCGATAAATAAAGACAATAGAAAACCTAAAATTTCATCTGCAAGTTGCAAAGAAATGCAAATTATTTCCAGATTGAGAAAAATTCAGAACAAATTATCGACTTGAAAACATTCCAAATCAAAGAAAACCGCTTCGATATTGGCACAAGAATTAAAATTAACTTTTCTAAATACAATAGATATATCAAATTATTATTTAAATTATACCAAAACAAAGCGAATTTCTTGAACTTCAAGATCCATTAACATGTTTTGACATTCCAAAAAAGAAAATGAGAAATATGAGTCCAGTGTCTGCACACACACACACACATAACACTGACCTTCCAAGAATTCCATGGACCATCACAACGAGATGATCAGCCGATGAAGCATCAGATTCTTTACAGCTATAAACATCTTCGCCTCCATTTACCGATTCCGAGGAGCACACAACACCGTTCTTCACTACACCGTTTTCCATTTGCTTATTCATCACACTATATTTAAATAAACTAAATCACCGACTCGCATTCCCTGACTACAATCGAATATCGAAAGCTAATTACAGATACACAATTAGAAAACAAATCAAGATTCATTCGATTTTCGTGCTCTTCAAAGATCCGGCAAGCGAGAAAAGAGCTAGCACGGGAAGATTGTGAGTTGGTTGTGAGGAATGTCAGAGGGGACAGAGGAACTTGAGGGCGAAAGAAACTTTAGACGTGGCGAGAGGTATACGATAGTGATATGGGATGGGGTACACTATAACTAACCCTTTATTAGATCTTGATTACAGTGACGAAATATGCGTCACCGTACCGTGTTGGCTTATAAAAGTTTGGAAACAGACTTTCTTTACGCGAGGGAGGAAAGGAGCAATATTTGGTTTTGAAACGGGGGAAACGTTTTTTTGTATTTGGATTAATAGAACTCTCGGTCTCAAAACGTATATGTACCTCTAAAATATTAATTTAGTTTTTAAAGTATTTAATTTATATTTAAATAATTTTTACAGTTAATTTTTTTGCAGAATGATCAAGTGTTGGGTATATGATTTCGTCTAAAAAATAACACGTTATCACTTTTATCAAAAAATTTAACAAATTATTTGACTAAAATGAAAACTTTAAGGATCAAATTGATAAATTAATACAATGAATACCAAATTGNTAACAAATTATTTGACTAAAATGAAAACTTTAAGGATCAAATTGATAAATTAATACAATGAATACCAAATTGACAAAACAAATATACTTTAGAAATTAAAAGTACTATTAACCATCTGTTTTTAAGGTCAAAATGAATCAGATAGAATTGAAATTCTAATACCTCAAAATATTTTATAATATTTTAATGTGTTTTGAAATATTTTGACTTATTTACACTATTATTTCGTAATATTTTAAGGAGTTTCANTGACAAAACAAATATACTTTAGAAATTAAAAGTACTATTAACCATCTGTTTTTAAGATCAAAATGAATCAGATAGAATTGAAATTCTAATACCTCAAAATATTTTATAATGTTTTAATGTGTTTTGAAATATTTTGACTTATTTACACTATTATTTCGTAATATTTTAAGGCGTTTTAAAATATTTTTATATATTTCAATCAATTTTTTGAAAAAAAAAATTATAATTTTTTATTCATTTCCATTATATTTTCAAAAGATAAAATTATGTTGTCCAAATTTGTTTACTAAATATTGTATTCAAAGTGATGTGTCAAAATCTTATGCATTAAATATTTTGTGGAACTAGTAAACTTTACTAATTTANCCAAATTTGTTTACTAAATATTGTATTCAAAGTGATGTGTCAAAATCTTATGCATTGAATATTTTGTGGAGCTAGTAAACTTTACTAATTCAATCACCTGCATTGATTTGGAATAAAAAATTTGGGACAACAATTTGATTAGTATTGCATTACTCGTTTTTGAAATAAGTCAGTAACATTTCTATTTCCTTAGTGACCAAAATAATGCACAAAAAATACATTTTGATATTTGGGAGGAAGACTACTATAACTAATGCAATAAAAATTATATTTTTTTAAATTAAGTTATAATTTTTTAATGTATAAATTATAATTGTAAAATATATAAGCTCTTTTTTTTAACATTTATAAAGTATACATGAATTAACGGGTCTTTGATTCAATGGTACTTCTTACCTTGTGAATAATTTATCCTTTTTAGATCAAAGGTTTAAGTCTCCCCTCTCCCTCCCCCTCTCTTCCCAAAAAAATTAAATAAATAAAATAAAGTATACATAATTATGATTAATTATGAAAATTATAACTTTTACAAGTAATCGAACACGAATTATTTCAAATAATTATAACTTTACTTTCAAAATATATAACTTAATCTTAAAAACTAATAACTTTTGGTAATGTATTACTTTTATTTTCTCTGGACCGTAGTATTATCCTTCTTTTGGTCACAGGGTGTAAACTTTAAGAAGTTGCAATTAAACATTAAATTATCGTTAGTTTAAATTGTTAAGATAATTATATTATTTATCTAAGTTTTTACTTAAACTGGTCAAAAGCTGAAGTTCAATAGCATAATATTTTTATGAGATCAATGTTATAATGAGTTTTAAATTGCTTACTTTTTATCTCGAGTCAGAGTCAAGTTGAAAACGAATGATTTTGGTTTGCTTTAAAGCCTAAACAGTAGGGGATGGAAAAGTGTTTTCTTTTTAAGTCATTTGTTTTCGTGGTAAAATATATTTTTTGAAAATTATAAATTATAATGATGTCCCTTAATATTTTTAATAATAGCATGGTTACTCCTTGAAAATTTTAAAATAACAAAGGAACCTCTTTTGTTGAATAACTAATTATTGTATGTGCCTAAAGGCACAGAATAATAAAAAATGGTAAACAATAAACATATTTATAAAATTAAATCACAAACATAGAGAAGAGATAAAAGAATTTAAGTATCGGTTTGTAGTGAGGGTGAAAGGTGGTGGGCGACAATAGTGGTGGTAGGAGACGATGATGATTGTGATAGATGACAATGACCATGGTGGCGGCGGCGGCGATGGTAGTAGTGGCGACGGCAACAACGGTGATGATAGTGGTAGCGGTGGCGGTGACGATGGGGATAGTGGTGGCGGGAGGTGATGGTGGTGGAGGCAGCGACAGTAGAGATGGTGGCAGTAGTGGTGGTGGCGGTGGCGATGGCGGGTGCAGTGGGGGTGGTGACGACGGTGGTGGTGGTGGTGGTGGCGGAGACGGTGGTAGTAGTGGCAGTGGTGGTAGAGGTGGTGGTGGGGCATTTTTAAACACTATTTTTTTTAATGTATTTATAAGAAATAATTTTTAAAAGTATTTTTAAAAAGTTACTTCAAATACACTCTTATGGTCCTATTTTTTCTATTAAATTTAGGGTGCTAATATTAGTCGTTAAATTAACTTTAAAGTAAAATTTAAAGTAATTTCAACCGCGAATAACAAAAATTATTTGATTTATCTTTTGAAATTTAAATTATAAGTTACTTTATTATATANGTATACATAATTATGATTAATTATGAAAATTATAACTTTTACAAGTAATCGAACATGAATTATTTCAAATAATTATAACTTTACTTTCAAAATATATAACTTAATCTTAAAAACTAATAACTTTTGGTAATGTATTACTTTTATTTTCTCTGGACCGTAGTATTATCCTTCTTTTGGTCACAGGGTGTAAACTTTAAGAAGTTGCAATTAAACATTAAATTATCGTTAGTTTAAATTGTTAAGATAATTATATTATTTATCTAAGTTTTTACTTAAACTGGTCAAAAGCTGAAGTTCAATAGCATAATATTTTTATGAGATCAATGTTATAATGAGTTTTAAATTGCTTACTTTTTATCTCGAGTCAGAGTCAAGTTGAAAACGAATGATTTTGGTTTGCTTTAAAGCCTAAACAGTAGGGGATGGAAAAGTGTTTTCTTTTTAAGTCATTTGTTTTCGTGGTAAAATATATTTTTTGAAAATTATAAATTATAATGATGTCCCTTAATATTTTTAATAATAGCATGGTTACTCCTTGAAAATTTTAAAATAACAAAGGAACCTCTTTTGTTGAATAACTAANTTGAAAATTTTAAAATAACAAAGGAACCTCTTTTGTTGAATAACTAGTTATTGTATGTGTCTAAAGGCACAGAATAATAAAAAATAGTAAACAATAAATATATTTGTAAAATTAAATCACAAACATAGAAAAGAGATAAAAGAATTTAAGTATCGGTTTGTAGTGAGGGTGAAAGGTGGTGGGCGATAATAGTGGTGGTAGGAGACGATGATGATTGTGATAGATGACAATGACCATGATGGTTGCGACGATGGTGGTAGTGACGGCGGCAACAACGGTGATGATAGTGGTGGTGGTGGCGGTGACGGTGGGGATAGTGGTGGCGGGAGGTGATGGTGGTGGAGGCAGCGACAGTAAAGGTGGTGGCAGTAGTGGTGGTGGCGGTGGCGATGGCGGGTGCAGTGGGGGTGGTGACGACGGTGGTGATGGTGGTGGCGGAGACGGTGGTAGTAGTGGCAGTGGTGGTAGAGGTGGTGGTGAGGTATTTTTAAACACTATTTTTTTTTAAAGTATTTATAAGAAATAATTTTTAAAAGTATTTTTAAAAAGTTACTTCAAATACACCCTTATGGCCCTATTTTTTCTATTAAATTTAGGGTGCTAATATTAGCCGTTAAATTAACTTTAAAGTAAAATTTAAAGTAATTTCAACCGCGAATAGCAAAAATTATTTGATTTATCTTTTGAAATTTAAATTATAAGTTACTTTATTATATAGATTTTGCAACTGAAAGACCTATTCCACCTAGGGTGTCCATTAGGGATGGTAATGGAATAGGTAAAAATGAGTATTCGTCCCGTTTAGACCAGAGATGTACTATAGGTATTGGATAGTGAACATATACGGGAATACCCGTGGGGGGATTGACTGACACTTACCCCCGTCCCTCCTCTGCCTCGTCCTTCCCCGTCCCGTTTTATCCGTTATTATTATTATTATTATTTTATATATATATAATAAAATAAAATAAAAAACAAAAAACAAAACAAAACCCAAAGCCACCCTCAAAATACAGAATGGTCTGGTCCAAAAAGAAGGCGGGTCTGTTCTATCGTCTTATTCAATTCTTGCATTCTACCAAATTTGCAAAATGAATTATGTGTGAATAATAGTCCTTAGTTTTGATTCTAAACTACCAATGAAATTCTCAAAATTTAAGCCGTTCTTCAATTAAGTTTTTCTAACAATGAAAATCATAATAGGAGCAACATGGGCTCAGATTGGATCCACATTTACTCCAACTCTTTTTCAAAAATATTATTTGAATCTAGTTAAATTCATTAATCCAATGACCGTAATTAATTAAGTCAAGAAACAATGTCAATAAATTAAGAACAAAGTAGCATTGGTCATACTTTTTCCTTCAATTTCTGTGAAGGGGAAATCACTCGCCATTAATTCATGTAGAATTTATCAAGTGTAATGTTCTGTTTGGTATGATAAAAAAATAGAAGGATAGAAAGTTGGAAGAATGAAAAGTTGGAGGGATAGATAAAACATCATATTTGGTAATGAAGTAAAATAGGAAGGATGAATGAGTTTTTCTTCGAACTCACTAAAATCAATCCCTTTAAAATCAAAAGGAAAGTGAATGAAAAGTTAATTATTTGTGTTGAAATGTA